TTTAGCCCAAATTATATTTGGGCTAAAATTTGGGGGCCCATACCGGCATACCGGTATCAAAATCAGCCTGGATACGTTGCTGTATATATATATATATATATATATATATATATATATATATATATATATATATATATATATATATATATATATATATATATATATATATATATATATATATATATATATATTGTTCATCAGTAATTTCTTTATTGCTGACTTTTCTCAAGTTTTTTTCAATGTATCATTGTTTTATCAGCGTGTGTCATCTGCAGACTTGTTTTATTTCTTTGACTGAGTAACCATTAGTGTGATTTTTTATTATCTTTTCTAAAAATATAGAAACCTTTTCTATAACTTGAATAATTACATTTTATAAACAATTTATTAAAAAACAATTGTTAAATTAAAAAAATTTTAAATTAGTTGAAGTTAACAGTAAATATTATATAAAATTAACTTAACTATTATTGGTAAATTAGAAATAAAGTAATTTTAATCATTTTTTATTTTAGTTAAAAAATATTTACATAAATATGTCTTGCATAATTGTTGAAGGAATTCGCCTTCCTACTAAGAAGAAGGCAAACAACTTTAGACCACCATGTTAAAAAGAATACAAGTAAATGCTGATTCAGCTGCTGCATATGGATTACAAGAAAAAAGCTTGGCCAATTTTAAACTATTTCAGAAATTTGACACCTTGGCTACTATCACCAGCTAATTGATATATACCCCACCCTACCATTGAAAACTGTAATGCAAACAACAGCGAAAGATTTGGAGCAGCTCTGGAATAATAAATTTAGCTTGTTGTTAGTATCCAGAGGTAGTATTGCAAAGAAGTTTAATTAACTTGTAGATAATTATAAAACATGTTTGAAGAGAACATCTACTATTTTCTTATGGCATTTGGTATCCTTGTTAAAAATATAAAAATGAAGACTGAAGAACAGATCTTTTGTGATCACCATTAGGTTAATAGAAAGAGGTATGTCTCAACCAGCCAAACAGTTTTTGAGCGTCCTACTAATAGGCAGTTGATAGCAAAAAAACGTGGATCTCGATTATGTAAAGAAATTATATACAGGTTCAAGCTCTCAAAATGACAATGACTCTGAAAATTTCAAGTTGTTGTTGGAACCACCCAAAAAATGTGATAATACTTCGTAAAATAAAAAAGAAAAGTTTTTTTTAAAAAATATGAAAGTTGGACCTTGCTTTGAAAAAATGTTAATTTTCTACTTCCCAACACCAAAAAAATTGCCTTTTTTAACTGATTTTAAATTTATAAAGAAGCTAAAAGAAAAGTATTCACAATTAAATAATCATATGTTAATATAATGCTCATAATTAAATATAATGCTCTGCATAAAATGTCTTATCCTCCTACTACTGTAAAAACCTGAATGATTATAGGTTTATTTCTTTTATTTTTTTTTAACAGTTTGGTAATTTATTTTACATTATCAATAATATGTATAGATTTTATATGCACTTTATTATGTTTTTTCTTCAGGTTATGCATTGCCTTTAGGCACTATTTGGATGCCAATATTTTACTCAAACTTGAGCTGTCAACCCTACTGCCATGTTCTTACTCAGCAAAGTGCACTTTATGTCTTACAATCGTACCTTTTAATCCCTGAAGACAGATCATCATTGAAAGAAACAGCAAAGTTTATTAGCTGTTCTTTATCATATGCATGGTTTAAAATGAGGCAGCAACCCAATTAGACAAATCTAAAAGAAACTACATCAAGCTACATTCAAGCCCAAGAGGCTTTAGACAGACATATTCTTGGAATTGAAGTCTTTTATAAAAATGTGCCTAGAACAAATGAGGCAGCTAAAAGAGTACTCCCAGCTATGGAAATCTGATCTAAATGGTCTGATAATGATCTTGAGAGACTTTTTTTAACTAAAATGTTTATTAAAATGTTGAACCAAAAATAATTTAACTTTGTAAACTTTGTTTTATATTTATAAAATTATTTATATAATTTCAATCTGTCTTAAAACTATGGAAAAATATAATTTTTGTCTCTAAAGTTCTTCTTTAACTTTGTTTTAATTCTTTTCAACATTTTCTATTTTCTCCTGAAGAGTTTTCATTAGAAATAAAGTCTTTTCGAGGGCTAATAAACTCAGAAATACTAGTGATAGATGAAAGTTTTGGCTTTTGACAATGAATTACTTAAAGCTTAAAAACAAATAACAAATTAAATAATAATAAAGCACTTATTTATGTTCTTGTAATAAGGTTTTTTTTTTTATGGCAGAGAGCAAAAATGCGCTTTTAATGACAGTCTAATACATAAAAGGCTGGTATATTTATTTTATACTTGAAATTGTTTTATTTTAATGAAACCTAAATGTCAAAACTTGGGTATAAAGATGATTTCTAATCATAAAGTGATCCATAGCAAACCTACCTTGAAATTTAAATTCATGTAAGAATACACCTTTTGCAAGCTTTGTTTTGATTTTTTTTCAAAAACATACGATTGTTACTATACTCACTAATCTGATTGCATTAATAAGTTCTTTGATACTGCAGCTTGTACTTTTGTACTGCAGCTTGTACTTTTGTACTGCAGCTTATACAGCAAAATAAATTTGTTATGAAATTTTTTTAAATTATCTAATATTAACTTATTTTTGTTTTTTTATTTATTCATTTTAATAGATAAATATTAGTTTGCAAAAAAATTAAATAAACTAAAGAAGTATATTTTAGAAAGTAATAACTTTTTGTTAAATTGTACTAATGTACTCTCACTAGAAAGTCTGGTCCCATAAAACGGCTCATAATAGGTCTGATTTACAACTCCAACATATTCTTTATTTGTTCTCAATAACTTTTCATTAATAATTTTCTCAATAAGTTTCAGAAAATTTAGAAAATAATGATCTTTACCTCATTAGAGATTTTTAATAGACAATATTAGTACTTATAAAAAACCTGCAGTTTATGAATTTCTTACTTATTTGGTTAAATAATACAATAAAATAATGTTCAAATAAATTAAATATATAAATGATATTTAGTTATTATTTGTACTAAAGTACAAATAATAACTAAAGTCAACAAAAATGCAACTTGTGCTTGCAAACTATAAGTTTTGGAAATAAAAATCCAAAGAACTTCAGAACATTACAAAGTGTTACATTATTTGTACAATATTTTTCGTCTATCATTCCTTGAATAGGATGTTTATCACTTTTGAAAAACAAACTTTTAAATAGTTGACAATGAAAGAAACGCGATTTTTTTTTATATACACTAATTCCATCAAACATTTGACCTGACAGCTTTTCAAAACAAAAATAATTTAGAATCTCATTTCGTGTCAACAGAACTTGATAAACAAATACCTGTTTATCACCAGAAACCACTGTTAAAACCTTAGCATCAATAAAATTATTTTGAAGAGCACAACTTTCATTCAAGTACCATTTCATTGCAAGTTTAATAAATTTCTAAATAACATAATTACACCACCAATTTTAAATTTTAAACAATGAAGTGGCACAACTGTAGAAACAAAGTTGTTTCTTTTATTATTGTTGGAGAGTTGTTTCTTTTATTAGAGTCATCCATCTCAATTTAATCAGCACTTAGCACAATCCATTGATCTCCCGGTAAACGTTTAATCACTTGCTCATTAATTGACAGTGAATCCATATTAGTGAGTGTTAAAATAACTCGTTAAGCATAATCATCTTATTCATCACCTTCAAATATGCCATGATTTAATCTGATTTAATCTGTTTCTCTATTAATGCACTGATTTGGTGTTTCAATACACTCTTTAAAAGAATCTTCCTTTTTGAAAGGTATTATTCCACTGTTGTGTTTTAATAGCCATTGTGAAAACTCTCCTTACCCATCATGTACTCTCAATTTTCAGTGAACATTTTATACATGCTTCTGCAACTTCAGCCCTTGTCACCAAAAAAAGGTTTTCCTACCAAATGGAATGTTGTTGTTACAAAAATATAATGGAAAGTTGTTGTGAACAAACTATAAATTGTATGTTTAAGTATAATGAATTTCCAGTCCATGTGGCTGTAGCAAATTAAACATTTATACTGCTGACTTAAGCTATCAAAGAATTATATTTAAACGTTTTCATAATAAAGGCTGGTCAATCCATAAAAACCAATTAGGAATGTTAATTACATAGGTACTACATAGTCTTTGGGCTACCCGCCCAATACATAGCTATTAAACAGAATGCTACTAGATTACCTGCTACTACATAGCTACATAGTACCTGGTACTACATAGCTACTACATAACCCGTGGCTCTCAACATAGCTACTGTATAAGATATTATGTTCATTATTTTAAATAAATTTAATTAAAATACATCACGCTTTAGTGATAAATTTTAGTGATCAAGTAAAAATTTTAGTGATCAACTAAGATCAGTAAAATCAAAATTTGTAAAATAAAAAAAACAATTAAAACATTTAAAATAATAATTTCAAATTAAATATATAAATAACCTGATTTTTTCGATATCAAATCAAAAATTTAAAACAATTTAATTTGACATCAGTTAACTAATAATTTTTGTTAGCGCATTCAATTAGACTTTTCATATATAGCTAATTACACGTTAGCAGATTCTGTTTTAGCAAATTCATTCATTATAACAATTGTAACTAAGCGCATAAAACAGTAACTAAGCATATTAAGCATTAAATTACAGTATTAATATTAAGATGGTTAAAATTAATTTACAATAGCCACATTTTAAATTGTTGAATTGGGCTTTACTAGTAATTTTTTTTATACTTTTAACAATAAGCTATGCAATTAAAAAAAAAAAACACACAATTTTAAAGTCACAATTAAGGAAACGAAGATAAGTAAGGTAAATATCTCTAAAGTGTGCATCTGATTTGATTTTAGCCATGAGTGCTTTAATAATCAATTTTATGTATGTTATAATTTATTCTGTTTGTAATTTCTGTATTATTTATATTAGTTCGATGAGTTGCCTATTATTCTTGCAGTAAATCACAAGAACATGGAGCTATTAAAGTTTTTGCTAGACCAAGGTGCAGATATAAATAAAAAAATAGTAAGTCATTTATCTGATAAATCTTTGGATTACATTGATATAATATATATTTTGAATTTCATCATTTTTTTTGCTAAAAAAGTTTTATAAAGATTTCAGAAAGAATGGTTAATTATTAAATAATGGTTTAAAATAATGGTTTTGAATAAAAATAAATTACATTTTATATTAAAAAAAAAAACAACACTTTTTTATGGCAATTATACAATATTCTTTTTTCAAAAAGTTTTAATAAAAAAGGTTGTAATTTTAAAATCTCAAAATATAAAATTTTGGTTCTTTCAAGACCCAGGTTGATATTTTTTTGGAAAAATTTTTTTATACTAAAATATTTTTTCACATTATTATTTATTCATGTTAGGAACAGAATCTAATAAAATTTTAATAAAATTATTTTAAATCTTAAAAAAATTATCCACTTTTATTAATGACTAATGGTACATAATGACTACTATTTAGTTTGTTATGGCAGGTGACCTGGTATACAATGTGCCAAAGTCTTCTAGAATTCCTAATGGGACATTATACAGAAAAACCCATGATCAAATCCAACAGAATAGCAAAAAAAAAAAATTGAAAATGGTTGTGGGTTTATTTTAAGTAATACTGAGGAAAAACTTTTTAAAAAAGTCCTTTGCTGTACTAAACTGACAGGGTTTTCCAAAAGAGAGAGAATATATCAAACTATATTATTATATAGCAAAGATTAAATTAAGAGATCCCAATTTGCAATATCTAGAAAAATATCTGGTCTTCAAAATTTGAATTTATGCAAAACCATGTATTTTGTTTTCATTAAGCAAATTAGCTTAAATTTGTTAGCAAATAAGTTGTAAAAACAAAATTTAACAATAAACTTACAACTACAAAAGTAATAACACTCTAGTCACTAACTACATTATAAAAGTAATAACATTATAGTAGTGTTATTACTTTTACAACGCACTTACAATTTTTATAATTGAATTTTTGTTCAAAAAACATAAGTAATCCCAAATTTTAATTGAAGTAGAAAAGCATCTGAAAAAAAAACATTGAATGGTAAAATTATACTAAAAACTTAAGGAACTTAACCCTTTGAGCGCGGAATAAAACTTAAACACCGTACGGAGAAACTGAACTAAAAAAAAAAAAAAACGAAAAACAACTATTTTAAATTTTAGTTTTTTTTCTCTAGTTTTTAGAAGAATTTAAGAAATGCGATGTATTTAATTTATAGCTGTTGTGTGGTAATTTGAAAAGCATCCAGGGCACAGTCCAACACAACATGACTGACACTGCCAACTGGTACGATCACGGGTTTGGTGCCCAGCTACACATTTTTTTTTTTCCTGAACCAATTTTGACAAGGTTATGTCCATATAAAGGATTGTTAATCGCTGTGTGTTGAGGAAATGGATATGGTACAATTGTACTTCTTGCCATTTCCATCTCCCTAGATGTTCGTCTTTTTGTTACTACTTTTACTGGTTGATACCCTCCAGCTAAACTTTCCACAACTGCCATCATAAAACTTATTCTAGACATAGGCTTACGTTCAATAGTGTTAAGCTTATACAATAAGTAGCTGTTAAGAATAGCCCTGCCAAATAAAGAAAAGGCAACTTTTGTAGTCCACTTTATTGTCTCACGCTCTGACAGGTACACGTAGAGCTGTGCATCTCCCAAATCTACCCCTCCCATGGTTCAATTATAAAGGGCAACAACGTTTGGCTTCATAACTAAATTACCTCTTCTGTTGCGCAATTCAGTAAAACCTGCTTTGGCAACAGTAGACAGTAATACAGGTTTTTTTTTACCATCTTGATATGTCACACATAACAAATAGGGTGGTCCAAAATTATAAATTATTGAAATTCATTTCTCCACAAGGCTGCCTTTGTTCCTATTAATATTTGCAATATTGTAGCCAAATTTGAAACAAATCGGATAATATTTAGGGGTTGCTATAAATTTTGACTTTTTGACCACAATGATAAAAAAATCAAAAATTTAATTTTCACTATAAATATAATATCGAATTTAAAAATTAATGCCACTAACAATTTAAATCAGGTAAATAGAATGCCTGTAGAGTATCTAATGAATATAGATCATTAATTGATCAATTTTTATTAAAGTATATCAACGTTTCGTAACTTTCGTAATTTTTAAACAAAAAACTGTAATATCAAGAATATTGTGAATATGTTGAAAAATGTATGTTTATTAATCAACGATTTCGTCATCTTTCGCCAACATGGCTGCCTTGGATGAAGTAGGGTATAGCTGGCGGTGACGTTGAACAAAACAAAGTAGGAACTGCTTTTGTTCTTCATCCTTTGTAATCGATTCGTTGTACTGTCCAATTAATGCAATTCAACGTTCTGCGCTGTCATTAACAACTTTCATTCTTTGGACTCTCTCTGCCAACTTCTGATATGATTCATCGTCCTCCCAATATTTAGGATCTTTTGAAATGAAATTTCTGGCCTCCTCTCTCCCTGTACTGCTCAACAACTCGAATAAACTATTGGTTCTCATAGTCACGAATGTCTCTAGTCTGTTGAAATCGGTATTCTTGGAATCTACTCTCTTCGGTGCTAGAGTTGTCTTGGGCAGTTGGAGGTTAACCACCATGGCCCTCTTCACATCCAGATCAACGCGACTATCAAAAAATGCCAGACCTATAAGATGTTCCGAGAAGAACCAAAGGTGTCGAGAAAATGCAGTAAAAGCTGCATCGGCGATTGTGCGGTTTGGATACTTTTGGAACTGTTTCAGCATTTGAGCATCATTAAACGGAGCATTTGCAGCCAGTGGAGCTTCGTGCCAAAAACGTCCGTAAATTAATGCCACAAACAATGCAAGCTCTACTAGACCTTTCTTCTCTCGAACAGTCAGAGTGAGCTGATCTTGAAATAGTACCATTTTCAGAGCGTAGATGGCCTTTGACATCCATCGAGCATGATGCATCGCTCCTGGAGCTCGAAATTTTATCTCAGCACCAACAGAGCCTCCCCCTAGAAAGACCAGGCATAACCGAAGTAGTTCAAGATAATCTTCCCTAGGTTGTTTTTCGTCGATGGCTCTGGTGTAGAATGCTACCATTTCCTTTCGAAGGATTTCCATATCTCTGATGAAGAGCTTATCTTTAGCTGGAGAGAATCTCGCTTGCTGAATATATGGCCACTTCTTCTGAAACCGTTTGAACAAGCCAACCTCAGGTCCCCCTGTTCCACCAAAGAGAGCTGTAAAGACATTGCTCAGAATGACCTCCAGAACATGGTGGCGGCAACCAATATTTACAAGATCACGACCAACTGCTTTCTCGATGAGAACACAAGCTCCTTTGTGGATACCTGTGTTGGGCGAGGTTGTGTCAAAGACTAAACCCTGAAGTTTGTCTCGAAATATCCAATCATCCAAGATCTTTAAGCAAGCTGCTGCTTGTTCCTCTCCTGTTCCTCTTCCAATTTTTGGAACTGCTAGCAATTTCTCCAAACCATTTCCAGTTACAATCACTGCAATTCGGTCCACGGTTTCTTTTGAACCGGTGATATCTGGAAGCAGTTTCCCATCCCAGTGTAGAAGCAAAGGAAATTCAATGGAAAAGTTGTCTTTGTCATTCTAAGTCACGTGTTTACGGGTAGACATTCGAGATCTCCTGATTGTACTTTGAGACAGAGTTAAGTCTGCAAGAGGATGTCCCAGTGCCTTAGCCACTTAAGCGACAACGAACATAGCTTTGCGATCTGGAAGGTTAACTCTGTCCAAAGCTCCAGCAACTTCCGGGCTGGAAACAATACTCTTCAGACGCTTTGGCTTTGGTGTAGAAAAAACAGATTGCGATGCAGAAGACAGAATCTCAAAACTTGGGTCGTCATCGCTGTCTTGACTGTCTTCTTAGCTGCTGATGTTGGCTGAGACAGGATCGAGATGACCACTGGAGTGTTGCTGTTTTGATAACCTTGCATCATATGCTTGATCTCGAGCTCTCTTCCAGGCTTCCTTTGCCAGTAAGTTCTTATCAATTCCAGCCATGCTGCAGCTGGTAACATCTTCTCGCTGCATTGCAAGAAATTGCCTATCTTCAGCAATGGTTATTGTCTCCATTGCGGTTTTAGTTGCCAAGTCAAAAAGCTCGTAAAGTGTGTCTTTGAACATCTGTTCTTTAATTCTACTGCTTTCCAGGTCTGTAGTTCGATTCTTTTTTAGGAGCAGATAGGAATCGTATAATTTCTGAAGTTTTCTTTCACCAGAATCAATTCTTTGTGTTGGGATTCTTGCCTTATTCCACATAACAATCAGCTCTTGAATCGTATGGTGAATGCTGTCCTTTATTGTGAGATGCTCTTCCAGATGATGAAAGAGGAGACACCGGAGGACATCTCCATTTGTTGCCAATCTTGACGAGGAGAGCTGCTTAGATGCTTTCCCAATGAGCCATACCTCTGCAGAGCTTCTTGTAGTAACTGCCATAAGTGGTGTAATATATATTTTTATTATTTATTAATTACCTGCAGAAGTTTAAGTTGAAATGATTCTTTGTTCTTCAACTATTTAATTTTATATAATTAATATTTAGTACTTTATATTATTAACAGAAATGAAAAAACATTACTGAAAAACATAATTTGTTTTGAAATATTGCAGACATGTGCTTAATACAAGATGGTCACTTAATCATGTGACAATTGATAAAAGATATTAGATATATAAATGAATTTTTATAGCATATTCTTTTTGAAAACTATTTAATTTAATAATAATTTATTTGTAATTCATTATATTAACTATATAATAAATATATATATAAAATATAATACTTAAGTATAAGAATATTTGTTACCAGAAATAAAAAAATAATCCTTATAAAATTTTTATTGAAATACTGCAGACATGTGCTTATTACAAGATGGCCGCCAAATCATGTGACAATAGACAACTAAAAGATATTAGATATATAAATGAATTTATATAGCATCTGCTTTTCAGCAAGCATTAATTTATTTACCACA